TCTGGCTTGCAACGAACACAAAACCAAGGTTGAAAGCGGATCCCACATCCAAGAAAGCTCCTCCAAATAATGCATCACTCCGAAAGCGAAGAGGACATATCAACACTGAACAAGGAATACACCTTTGAAGCTCCAAGGTATCACCAGATATCCAGCGACGAAACACCAAACAAACCTAACCTCCAGAGAAGCACTGGGAACGTAACCAACGCTCCGGAATTGAAGTCCACCGACACAAAACCAAGCCACACCACCAAAACTAGATGTCTCGACCCGACACCTACACCACTACCATCTAACACCAGGATGGACTCAAAAGAGACGATCTAGACAAAGGAGGAGAACCTATCGCAAGAACCACAACCTCAAAACCAGAACAAGAGGGATTCGAACAGGCAAGTCATACAACAACCCTAACCGAATCCTAAAAAGAGGACCAATATAAAGACCAAACCAAAACCAGATACGGCAATAAGCGCAAATCCGGAATTAGAGACTAGAAGCAGAATCGACAAACCCAGAACCCTCGTCACGACGAACAGATCCAGCCCTGCATCCCCTTCCAATCGAGAGCTACCTGAAACGGAGACTCCTTCTTCCCAGCGCAAAATCCTCACAAACCTAAGCCAAAACCGAGCACAAGGAGGACCACCGCGAATCGCCGGAGATCTAATATACAAAACTAAAGACAAAAGAAACAGATGGGATCCGGCGCCGGTGCTATGGTAGCCACCGATAAGCCGGATCCAAGCGGTGAAAATCGATAGCAGCGGCGGAAACAGAATCTCACCTCTCTATATTTTTTTATTATAATCTTATATTACATGTTTAATGAATATATTATATTATTAATATCCATGGTTGGATTTAGTGTTCGATATGGAGGGCGATGCTCTCAAATCCTAAGAGCATCATTAACCTTAAACTTCTTTAAGAGTTTCTAAATATTTTTTAATAATAGAAAATAATTCTTAAATTAATCTAAGAACTTTGACTTTTTTATACCTCCATTGGTGAACCTTAAAAACCTCTCTATTTCCTTCCCAAACGGTTTGTACCTCCGTTTATACCTCCGTCGTCGCCGCCACTCACATCCCGATCTCCGGCGGTTAAGGTTTTGCAAGGAAAGAATCCCCAAATTGGCCAAGAGAGATGAATCGCAATCACAATCCCTATCG